CCAAATTTGAAGCCATCACTCACTACTTGGTCAGAATGGGATACAGTTCCAACTTGGAAGAATCCAGAGAATGTTTGTTGGAATCCCTCAGCCCAGACTTGGAATCCTCAGTAACCAGGGAGCTCATCAGAGACAATATGATGTTGGCCTCCAAGGATGGTGGGGACATTCTGCCAGATACTGAAACCCTGATCAGTTATATCCACAGAGAAGTTCAGTCTGCCTCTGTCATGGAAAGAAGAAAAGTCTGGAGAGGAATGGAGCAAAACAATTCAGCAAAACCCCCAGCCCAGAAAACCCAGGACCAGAAAGCTGTGGAAGACCTCACCAAAACCTTGGCCAGTTGGCACACCCAGAAATCCAACCCCTTAATTTCCAAAAGCCATGTTCCCTACAAACCTGCCCAATTGGAAAAAGACTGGAGTAATGTCAAGTGTAATTACTGCCATGGACTAGGCCACACTTTCCATAGATGTAACATGGCCAATGAGGATGAACTAAAAGGACTTTTCAAGAAGGATGGACCCAATGTAATCCTACCAGATGGATCTCAAGTTCAATGGCAGAAAAACAAGGCCTTCAAATCAGCTGTGGACCACTTTCACCTATCTCAGAAACAGCCTGGAATTCTCAACTTACCCCAAGGAGCCCTAAACAAGTCTGCAGAAATTTCCATGGACCCCCAGACCTCTTTTGGAAAATTGGAAGAAATTGACCAAGAAGAGGAATCCACCTATGAATGTGAAGCTGTAAAAAGGACCAGAAGTGGAAAGGAATATCCAGAAGAAACCTCAGTCAGCAAAAGGGTCCGAAAAGAAAAAGAGGACCTAATGGATGTAGACAGGGAAAGACTTCAAGAAATTGCCAGACAGGATGACTACAATCCAGTAATCCTTCCACCTTCATCCACCAAGGAAAATTCTCCACCCAAGAAGGTCCAAATCCAGGATCCAGAAAGCACCACCATACCAGCTAGCAAGGAAAAGGCCCCTAGAAAAACTTATGTGGAGAGACCTCTAACTAATCAATTTCCAGATGCAGAAGACAAAGTGGTCAGCAGGATGTTAATGGATGGTAAAATGGAACTCTCTATTGGGGAAATTTTTGCAATTTCTAATGGTACTGTTGAAGCCTTCAAGAAAAGGATTACTCCAAAAAGAATCCCAGTGGACCCCACCAAATCTACCAACTCTGGAGGGATTGACCAGGATGGAGAAGAAGAGGAAGACCCTCAGGAAGAACCTAGCCACTATGCCTGCCCCCTAGGATATATAGATGTCAGTATCAATGGGAAATCCTTCCAAGCCCTATTGGATAATGGATCACAAGTCAACTTACTCCCCAGGGACCTTGCAGCAAGAATGGGCCTCATAATCACCCAAAAACCCATGAACCTCAAAGGAATTGGTGGCCACAAGAATGAAATCCTAGGAGTAGCTGAGAGTGTACCTGTAAAAGTGGGTCACATCACCAGAGGAATACACTTCTATGTCTCTGCAGGGGAAGTTCAACCAATTTTGGGCAAACCATGGCTCATAGATGTGTCAGCAACCATCAAATTTCACCAACATGGAGCAGAATCCTTGGCAATCCAGAAAGCAGGAAAAACTTACTTGGTACCCATACATAATCCATCCAACCAGAAGTGGGAGAAAGATTTTCCTGTCCACACAGCCACTACTTCAAGTCATTTTTTAGTGTCTGGCACCTCCCACAAGTGAAGTCTTGGGAGGTGCCTAATAAAAAAGAGGAGGATAAATTAGTATATGCTGCAAAATATAAATCAACTACAAAAAAAATAAAACCAGTTAATGAACCTATGCCCCAGAATCTCAACTCACCTTTATGCAATCCCCCTTTATCAAGAGACCCTTACAAAACCCCCTTAACCCCCTTCCCACCTGAATTTACCCCCACCTGGAAAATAACTGAAGAAAGATTGAAGGTTGTCAATTTTGGACCCCCTGGATGGCTTTGGCCAGAAGAACTGAAACTCCTCAAGCATGTCATCAAGCTCAGACAAGGAGGACTGGCCTTTTGTGAAGAAGAAAGAGGACTCCTGAAGCATACCTATGGAAAACCCTACATTATCCCAGTTATCAAGCATGACCCTTGGCAGCAAAGGCCCATCCCAATACCTGCAGCCATCAAGAATCAATTCATTGAATTAGTTAGGGAAAGACTCAAGACTGGCCTCTATGAACAATCCTGTTCCAGTTATTCCAGCCCAGTATTTTGTGTCAAAAAGCAAGATGGAAAGTTGAGAGTGGTCCATGACTTACAAAGGCTCAACAAAGTCACCATCAAAGACTCTGGACTTCCACCAAATCCTGAAGAACTCATTGAATCTTTCACTGGAAGGGCCTGCTATGGTCTGGGTGATATAATGGGAGGATATGATGAAAGAGAATTAGCCCTGGAATCTAGACCCCTCACTACCTTTGAAACCCCCCTTGGCAGATTTCAACTCACCAGATTACCCCAAGGAGCCACCAATTCTGTGGCAGTCTACCAAGCCCAAATGATGTGGATACTCCAGGATGAAATACCAAACAATGTGGGCATTTTTATTGATGATGGAGGGATTAAAGGCCCTGTGTCAGACTATAATCAAGAAACTTTGGAAGAAAATTCAGGAATCAGAAGGTTTATTTGGGAATATGCCATTACTCTGGAAAGGATCTTATTCAGAATAGAAGAAGCTGGACTCACCATCTCTGGAAAGAAATTTGCCTGTTGTGTACCTGCCTTGGACCTTGTAGGACATGTGGTATGCAAAGAAGGAAGAAAAATTGCCCAGAAACAACTCAACAAGTGGGAAAGCTGGCCAATCCCTGACAACCCCACAGATGTCAGAGGATTTCTTGGAGTCTGTGTTTATGTCAGAATGTTTATCCCTGGACTTTCAGAACTTGCTTCACCCCTCAGAAGGCTCACTTGGAAGGACTCAGAATGGAAATGGAACCAGGCTTGCCAGGATGCATTTGAAAAACTGAAGAAACTGGTGGGCTATGATATTACTCTAAAAAAATTGGACTATTCTGAAGAAGCAGGAGCAATAAAATTAGCTGTGGATTCAAGTCACATAGCAGCTGGAGCAGTACTCACACAAGAAGATGAAGGCCTGGACAGACCTGTCCTGTATGAATCAGTAGTATTTTCCCCAACAGAATCCAAATATTCTCAGTTCAAATTGGAACTTTGTGGAGTCACCAAGGTCCTCAAGAAACTACAAACTCAATTATGGGGCCAACATTTTGAATTATTAGTAGATGCCAAAAGTCTAATAGAAATGATCAACTCACCCAGCCTTCCAAATGCTCCCATGACCAGATGGGTAGCCTTTATCCAATTATTTTCCTTTACCATGAAGCATGTCTCTGGAAAAACTTTCACTATGCCTGATGGACTGTCCAGAAGAACCCCTGACCCTGGAGAAATTGGCAAAGACTTTGATGAAGAAGAGAAATGGATCAAACCTCACCCTGGCTTTGGACTAAAAGAGATCAACATGGCAAATTTGGGGGTGGAACCCACTCACAGCAATCAAATTGGAATCTGGAAACACCTTCAATATTACTTGGAAACCCTCAACAGACCCCCTGAATGTCCAGACAAGGATTGGAGTATTATTAAACATAAGTCAGCAATGTTTTTTATGTCAGAAGGCCACTTAAAAAGAAGAAACAAACCTTTTCCCCAGGTCGTGGTAACCTCTCAAGACCTCCAGAAAACAGTCCTCAAGACCCTCCATGAAGAATTGGGCCACAGAGGCATGGATGAAACCTACAGAAGAGCCAAACTCAGATTTTGGTGGCCAAATATGAAGAGAGCTGTCAAGAAATGGGTTCAATCCTGTGTGGCCTGTCAGAAAAGAAGCTCAGCAAAACCCTTGGAACTCAAGAAGGCTACTGGGATCCCCATAATCTTCGGAAGAGTAAGCCTGGACACCATTCACATCAAAGCAGGAAGGTGGAAATACCTTGTTGTGGCCAGGGATGATCTCTCAGGATGGGTGGAAGCTGTTGGCCTGGAGCAAATAAAAGCCAAGAAAATTTCAGAATGGTTTATGGAAAATTGGATCCACAGGTATGGAGTCCCCTTGACAGTTGTTGTTGATGGTGGCCCAGAATTTGGCCAAGAACTCCAAAATCCCTCACTGAAGCAGGTGCCAAGGTCAAAGTCACTACACCCTACTACCCAGAAGCAAATGGAATGGTGGAAAGAGGACATCAGCCCCTGAAGGATACTTTGGTCAAACTCTGTGAAACAGATGGAAAAAAATGGAGGAATTACTTACCACTAGTACTCTTTGCAGACAGAATTTCCACCAAGAGGACCACAGGATATTCCCCTTATGAATTAATTTTTGGACAACCAGCCATCTTGCCTGTGGACTTAGAATTGGAAACTTACCTGGGAACAGATTGGACCAAAATTAAATCAACAACAGAATTATTGTCAGCAAGAGTCCTACAGCTGGAAAGAAGAGAGGAAGTCCTTCAGGATGCTTACAGAAAAATGAAGGAGGCCAGATCCCAATCCTTGGAAACAATGAACCAGAAGAAATCTCTCAGAAATCCACTCACTCCTGGACAGCTGGTGTTGGTGTATAATAAAAGTCTTGACTCTCAGTGGGGCAAATTGTTTGAGAACAGGTGGAATGGGCCTTATAGAATTACCAAGCAAGAAAAAGGAGGATCTTATGCATTGGAAGAATTGGATGGATCTGAACTGAAGAGGAGATATGCTGCCTCTCAGGTCAAACCATTTAATTCTAGGGCATAACCTTCCTTACAAGTACTTTTTTTGCTATCTGTAATTCTAAAACATTTTCCTTGAAAAATCCTTGAAAAATTCTATAAAAATTCCTGAAAAACTCTTGTCAAAAAAAAAAAAAAAACAAAAAAAACAAAAAAGGGAATTAGCATCAAGTTTTCAACTTTTTAGTTTATGTACAAGAATCAAGAAATTTCTAAGTTTTTTTTGTTACCACTCACTTATTCTATAACAGTCATCTGTACTTGGTCTACAGTCTCAAGCACACGGTCCAGCTCCTCCATAATGCTCTCATACAGTCGACATCGCGCCATACGCCTATAACCTCCACTACGACGCGGGTGATTGAGGACGTCGCCGTCCAGAAGATTGAAGTAAGATCGGAAGAGATCTTTGATGTGTCGACGCGCGTTCAGGACGGCGTCTTCTTGTACAACCTCGGCCCAGATAGGACCACGCTCTTCGGGCGTTAACTCGACATCAGGATCGGGGTGAGAAGGGTAGACATAGCAGGGTTCCGCTGGAGGCGGCGTATCAACCCGGATAGGAGAAGAAGCGGACCCGCTTCCAGTGTAGTCAGTAGAGCGAGGGGGCGATGGCGAGCGAGCGTACCTCTCCTGGTAGTGGAAGGGGAACAGGCCATTGGAATCGGCTTGAAAGGCCGCGGCTATTGCAAACAGCCGGATATCGGAAAAGGACGGAGGAGGCGGGCGAGGTGCATGTACATGGTCCTCGACTCGTCTACGCACGTCGACGGGCTCTTCAGGTTCGGGCAGTCCAGCAGCAGATGCAGCATGGGAGTCGGTCTCTTCCGACTTGACCACAGGATCAGGAACTGAAGACTCGATGGTCTCTTCAGATGCGGAAGCTTCGGCGGTAGACGTAGCAGGTGAAGCGGTCCCTCCCGACACCAAGGCTTCAGCAACAGGTGTAGGTTGCGAGTCGGGTTCTTCCAACTTGATCAAAGGATTGGGAAGCGTCTCTTCAGGATCGGGGGACGACGGCAGATGAGTAGACGCTTCGGACTGAAGGGAGTAGGGAGATTGCGGTTCGTTCACAAACCGCACAGGAATATAGAAAGTAGACATGTCGATGAGGCCGGAGAAGGTACGATCATGGATATGAACAAAGCGCTAGAAGCAACCCCGTTAAGAATCCAAGATTGACTACTCGACAGGGCAGGTAACTCGGAAAGAGCCGGTCTCAACTGGGCGGGTCAAGATTTCAAAACGACGGAATCGACCGGCAACCCTTTGTTTTTTTTGTTGTTAGGCGCTAAGATTGATAGCGCGGCCGGCCAAGCCGTTGAGCCAGACTTGAGCGTTCCAGGAATCAATAGGACAAACGACATCAGCGTTCAATTCAGGTTTGAAAGAGCGGGTAGCCTTCGGAGGCATTGAAACAATTGCTATAGCTTCAAACACGTTGATCAGGTGCTCCATCTGTAAGACCGATGGTCGGAATCAAGCAGATAGCGACAATGCCAAGCTCCTCAACAACGCAAGCGAGGTAAAGGTATTCATTCACCATCCTTTTCTCTTCTAACCGCCTATTCCTACCAGATATCACCGCAAGTACGGACCGACTTAAGATTATTACAGAAGCCATGAGTACACCGGACTTGCTTTACGATGATCCGGCTACGTATTGTAGGCAGTACCGGCCCAATATTCAGTCTAACTTTGTTTCCATCTCTAACCTCGCCCTTGGAACGACAACCGACGATATTCGCTTCACCTTTCAAGACTTTGGCTCGATCAGCCACTGTTTTATTGCATCCGATCAACCATCGAAAGCCCTATTGGTCTTCATCAAACCTCCGGACGCAGGCTATCAAGCCGAGTCACTCGACGGTGCGATTGCGGACGGGCAGTGCATCTCTGTTAAAACCATCAAGGAAGCAGAATTAGGGGGCCTGGCCCTTCTTCGTAGGATAACCTGAACCATGACCTGTACACCCCTCCTTAGATTGAAGACCCACCAAGCCCCTTCATTGCAAAATTTGGGGGTGGTTGCCACCAACCTTCTCCCTTTGAATCACCTGAACAAAGCTCTGAACCTATAAACCTCAATCTGTCCCCTCTCAAAATCTAGGTTTTTGCTCTTTTTTGGGGTAGCATACTCTTTTCTTTTCTTTTTTTTCTTCTCTCATTTTTTTGATGAATCAAAATGTTTTCTTGGGAAATGAAATACTCCCAAGGCTATGGAATGAAAGCCCAAGATAAATGCAATGAAGAAATGAACAAAATCAAGCATCCAGCAACATGAACAGGAAATAAATAAAAAAAAAAAAAAAAAAAAATCTTACATAGAGGTTTGGCTGCAAAATCCTTCCATCCCAAATGGAGGAAAATCATGTTCTCATCATCCACTTGGAATGGAAAATGGCTGGAGCTGAGCTCGTTGAATTTTTTCAGCTCATCCAGCTCAGTCAGCTCTTGGACCCAGCTCATCCAGCTCAGTCAGCTCAAGTCAGCTCTCGGACCCAGCTCAGTCAGCTCTCGGACCCAGCTCAGTCAGCTCTCAAACCCAGCTCATCCAGCTCATCCAGCTCATCCAGCTCATTCAGCTCATCCAGCTCATCCAGCTCATCCAGCTCATCCAGCTCATCCAGCTCAAAAACCAGCTCTAATCCCTAACCCTAAACCTCACCCTGAACCCCAACCTAACCCTAACCCTAACCCTAAACCTAAACCTAAACCTACCCTAAACCTAACCCTAAACCTACCCTAAACACTACGCCTAAACCTAACCCCTAACCTGACCCCTAACCCTAAACCTAACCCTAAACCTAACCCCAAACCTAAACCTAAACCTCAACCTCAACCTAACCCCTAACCCCTAAAACCTAACCCCTAAAACCTAACCCCTAAAACCTAACCCCTAAACCTAACCCCTAAACCTAACCCCTAACCCCTAAAACCTAACCCCTAAACCTAACCCTCTAAAACCTAACCCTAAACCTACCCTAAACCTAACCCCTAAACCTAACCCCTAAACCTAACCCCTAAACCTAACCCCTAACCTAACCCCTAAACCTAACCCCTAACCTAACACCTAAACCTAACACCTAAACCTAACCCTTAACCTAACCCCTAACCTAACCCCTAACCTAACCCCTAACCTGACCCCTAACCTGACCCCTAACCTGACCCCTAACCTGACCCCTAACCCCTAAATTGGAGCTGCCTTTGGTGGGGCTTGAACCCACAACCTCAAGGGAGGTGGATGGCAGGATTAGCTGACTAGGCTACAGAGACTGGACTGAGGATTTAGTGTTGTTTGTATCTTAAGTGGACCTCATCAGCTGGATGAGCTGGGTCCCAGAGCTGACTGAGCTGGGTCGGAGAGCTGACTGAGCTGGGTTGGAGAGCTGACTGAGCTGGGTCTGAGAGCTGACTTGAGCTGACTGAGCTGGATGAGCTGGGTCCAAGAGCTGACTGAGCTGGATGAGCTGAAAAAATTTGACGAGCTCAGCTCCAGCCATTTTCCATTCCAAGTGGATGATGAGAACATGATTTTACTCCATTTGGGATGGAAGAATTTTGCAGCCACAGGTGCTTACATAACATAAAAGCACAAAACTTAATTCCCCTACATACATAAGCACTTTTTCTCTAGAAAATTTTATCAGTTATGACTCAGTTCTTTTCTATAATATATATATATATATATATATATATTCAGTCAGCTTCAGGATTGTCTTTTGTTTCTTTTTTTCTTGGATGATGGGGACATCATCTAATTTGGGGGTGGATGTGGTAAGCCAATCCTGAATCTCAGAGCACAACAAGACTACAAATCACACAGGAATCACAGACTCAAGACCCCTCAGGAATTCCCCAGGCCCTCAAACAAATCCAACAACCAAGTTATCCACACAATTGCCCCCCCCTATGGATAATAACATCATCCACACCTCTGAAACTCCTCAAATGAAACCCATGGCCAAATTCCTAGTTCAATCTTGATAAGACTTAGCTCACACACCAACTACACACTAGTACCCCTTCTCAATATAACCTCAAACCCCTCTAAAAAATATTCCTTATCTCTTATCTCCTTCCAGCTTATGCCAAGAATTCCCACACAACAGCTATGTTTCATACTAGTCCTCTTTTGGCCCTTTCTTCCCATTGTCTGTTCAATCCCCATCTGGGTGAAATAATTACCCCCACCTATTCCCCTTGATAATATTATCCAAGCCTCTCTCTGTTTCAGAATGAATTAATTACCTTATCTTAGCTTGGCCCTTTCTTTGGTTTCAGTCTAGTCTTATCTTATCTTAGTGCCACACTAAATTAGGCCACATTGTTCATAGTTACAATTTCCTTCCTTGTTCATTCTTTGTTCCATTTTGTTTCATCCATCTTCCAACCACAAATTGGCCACTCCCCAGAATCTTGTATATAAGGAGCTTTGTCTTTCCTCTTCCCTTGTTCCACATCAGATCCTGCCCCAGCAATCCAGATAACTGATCACCCATTATTAGCCAGGTATTTGCCCATCAACATTTGGGATACCTTGATTTGTGAACAAGTATATTTAGACTAGTAAACATAAGAAACATTAGACATACCATCCTCAAGAAATCTCCACAGCCACACCTTTCCTTAAGAGTCCATACTCTTATATTTTCTTGTTATCAGAGAGGCAGCCCATTAAAGCACTCATCCCTCTCAAGCTCTATTCCTCCCAAGAGTAGTTCCACAGCGGGTATCCGGGTATCCCTTGGGATACCCGGTGCCAAGAGGCCACACCGCCGGGAGGAATCCCTCCCGGCAAGCTGGTTTTTAAACCAGCTCGTCGGGAGGGGTTCCTCGCGGCGAGCTGGCTTTAAACCACCTCGTCGGAAGGGACTCTCCGCGAGAGTCTACACTGCAAATCTCTG